GTTTGGCACGCAACCACCGTTTCAAGGGTACCCACAAAAACAACGGCCGGGAGGCACCACTCAGCGACGACTAACCCGTACGCAGGCTCACGTGAGCCTGTAGGTCGTCGTGCACCCAGCTGATCTGCCTCACGGGCACCGACGCCACCGAGCGCGCGCGGGAAAGACCGAACCAAGGCAGATCCTGGTGCTCTGCTGCCCCAAACCAGCCGGACACCTGCTGGAGGCCTGGAAATTGGCACCAACACCAGCCCAGGGGGTTGCCTCCACAGGGGGAAGATGATACTAGATTTCGGTGTTGCTGGCAGTATTTCGGCCACCTTGGAAGCCAGAATATCACCACCATCACCGAGATCGGGATCGTCTTCCCTCGGTGGAGGCACACCGCCGATCTTGGTGTTGGTGTCAACCTCTAGGCCTCCGAACCTGATCTTGGTTTTCGGCATGCCTGCTCCGCCGCCGCGCCAGCACAGCGGGGTCCCGCAGAGAGGCCCACGCTGTGCGGCTCCCAGGTCTCCCATCCGGAGGGCACCTCCCAGCCGCGCGCCGCGACCGCCCGAGCGTCGCAGAGGGACGCGAGGCGGGCCCCTGCTGGCGATGGAGCCTGCGGGCCAACGCCCCCTCCTCGGCGGCGAGCGAGGGGGGGAAGCGAGAAGGCGGAGGCCCTCTCAGATAGCGGCGGGGCTTCTCAGAAGCCCTCCCGGCCTTCTGAGAGGTCTTCTGTGCATTCGGGGAACGGCTCTGGAAACTTCTCAGAAGGCCGGTGGGCGTCCGAGCCTTCTGAGGAGAAGACCCGCGCCTTCTCATTCCCCCCACCCCGGGCTCGCCGCCGACTGGAGCAGAGCAGGGGGAAAAGAGCTTCTGCGCTTCAGCAAGCTGGAAACAAACAGGGTCGGCACCACTCCCACCCCCACGATCGTAGTCGGGAAAGGCACCATCAGCCCCACCCAGTGTCGTCATCGGTGCTGGTGCCGTCGATGCCGACGATGTTCCCCAACCCGTGGTGAGCACCAGGTGGATCTGGCTCAGGCTGAGGGTCCCCACGTGGCACGTGATGCGGTGCATCACGTACTTCATCATGTCCGTTCCCCTGGGATGGACCTGCTGGCTGCGGGTCAAGATCCTCCAGGACGGTGTCGCTAGTCGATCAGAGGGGCAGACATCTTTATTCAGTGCACTCACGGTGCGCCGCATCGCGACGACCCGCCGCGACGGCAAGGACGGGTTGCACCCCGTCAGCCACCAGGAGATCCGTCGACGGTGGGCTCACCTGCCCTGCTGGCGGTCGTGCACGGCCTCGAGCAGTTTCTTGGACACGAAACCAGACGCAGAGGGGCAGCATCTCCTGCGAGGGATGCGCGAGCATTTGGCGCTACTGCGTGTCGCTTGGCCCCGTGGGCTGGCTGAAGGTGTCGACCAGCCTTGCTCGGGCATTGCCTCCCTGCCTCCGCGCCGCCCCAAAAATATGTCGCGTGCGATCCGCTCACGAACGCGACGGGCAAGAGGCGATTGCGGGTCGTCGATGCCGCTGAAGCACGGGTAGGCTAACACATGGGCAACGTAGGGTTTGCAGCGGTACATCCAGCTGCTGTGCCCCTCGCCGTAGTCGGCGAGGGCCTGCGAGCACGAGTGCCGCCTGGACGAACACTTCGCGAGGCCGTCCGTCAGCGGGACGACCTCCGCCCAGCTCCGTACGTGGTGACTGCAGGGGCGACCACCTCGCAGATCGCAGCGCCGATGACCCCTTTCAGGGTGCCCGCCGCCTTGTCGAGCCTCTGGACCGTTCCGCTTCGCTGTGGCTCCCATCCGGTCCGTCGTCAAAGGTAGCTCAGCCTGGACGATTACCAGCTCGTCCATTCGGGCCGGGCGAAAGGGGGGATAGCAATGGGGGGGGCTGAGGATCAGCTCGCGTAGCTGATTTTCCCGGCGCCCATGTGTCGAGGGATGGACCCGGCGGCGGGGCCGAAACCAGCTGCATGCAGCAGATTTCGTGACCCCCCCGTTCCCTATCCCCCCCGTTTCCTTCGGCCCGATCCATCGGCACCGAGACCGTGCCGCTGCGCCCGCTGATGGGACGGCACCCGGCGCACCCCCGGGCAGGCGGAGCAACGAGCCCCCTCCCTGCCAGCACGACAGCGCCCGAGGCGCGCGCGCCCCACGAGCCGCCGCGTGGCCGCGGGCGCCCAGGTCGCGGCCGGGCTCTGGAGGCGGACGCGGCGGCGGGACGATGCCGCCGGCGAGGTGTGCAGCTGAGCGAGTTTGCAGGGACCAAATGGTCGGTGCCGGGGATGGCGGTGGGAGCGGCAGAGTGGAGGCGAGGGTGGAGGTAAAAATTCTCCGCGGGAACGGCACCACCTGCCCCCCCCACCACACAAGCAGCACCCGAGATCCAGCATGGGCCGTGGGCGATGGCCCCCGTTCGATGGCTGGCCACCGTGAGCCGGTGCTGACGCCAGGTGCGTCACGCTCGCGAGGTGCACCACGAGTGCCAGGTGCGGCGAGCGCAGAGTGCGCCCGTTGCGCAAGTACGCGTGGCAACACACATCGGGCAGTATGTCGACCCCCCACGCTCACCATCCTTGTCAAAAAACATCTTAGACTGCGTCTGGGAAGGAGGATGGGCATGGGAACGACCGAAGCCGCAGAGGCAGCCGCTGATCTTGCCGCGCGAGCAACCGGCTGGGCAGCTCAGGAGATGGGCTTCTTCTCCAGCTCCTCTGGGGGGACGCCGACCACACACCTCCACCGATCCTGGCTGAGCCGATCCTAGCCCTGGGATCGGTGCAGACGCCCACCTGTCTTGGCAAGGAAGGCAGGTACACCGATCCTCGGCCCAGGACTGGCCCAGCCTGGATCAGTGCAGTTGTTGGCGTCCCCCGGTCCTCGTCATCGCTGTCCTCGTAGTCATCGTCATCCTCGTAGTCGTCGTCGTAGTCGTCGTCCTGCGCGGTGGGCGGATCTTTTGGAACGCTGCGGGTCGAACGGGCGGCTCCATCGTTCGTCGCCACCGTGGTCTGCGCAGGAGCCCGGGCGGCGATGGTGCCCAGAAATGCTGCTCCACTACACCCCCCTGGAGAAGAAGTGCAACTCTTTCTATCGTTTCAATGCCCGCCTGCCTGGACCCCCGATCTCAACGTTGAGGAAACTGCGGCCGACGGCAGAAGAAAAAACGGATCGCGCGGCGCCCCTGCGTGAACATTACAAGAGAGGGGCGCGGGGAGACAACCAACGCGCGAAAGTTGCCAAGGGCGCCTAACTTCGCGCTTCGCGCTGCGCGAAGCGCGAAGGGCGAATAACTTCGCGCTATCGCGCCGCCCCCCAGGGGAGAAGAGGTGGATGAGGAGGAATCGGAGCCGAACCGCGAAGCGCGAAGCGCGAAAAACTTCGCGTCGCGCGCTCGAGGGCGCCCTTGAGTTGAGGGGCGCAGGGGGAAAACCCACACGCGAAAGTTGCATGACTTTTGAGACCTTTTTTTTTGAATCAGTGATAACCCGGGTTATCTGGGAGGGGGGGGGAGGGGGCCAGCCGATAACCTAACCTTCGCGCTGTGGGCAGCCCTGCATATGCCCGCGCCCCCCCACCCCGAACCTGCACAACCGGCAAGGTTAGGTTATCCTGGGGGGGGGGAGAGGGGGGGGGCAAGCCCGATACCCCGGGCTATCGCCGGACCCTAAACAAAATGTCTCTTTCCAGGGAAGGGTACGATGGAGGCCGCATAGATGGAAACCCAGTTGAGCGGGTCGTAGGACGACCGGATTGCGGAGGCACCGGCGCAGCAGCGCGATCCTCCAACCTCAGCTGATGCGGTCCCATCTGGACGGCCTGGATTCGACGAGCGCCTTGCACTACTCGCACAGTAACTACTCGCAAGTAACCTGGATCCCCCGCGGGGATCTACGATAAATCACATCAAAGCAGACATGTGTTTTTCGGACGTTTGCGAGTAGGGACTTTGCGAGTAGTGGAACGCGCTCAGAAGAACCACGCCCAAGGAAGGAACCGAACAGGACAGGGCTGCTCAGCAGAACATGGAGACGGGGCGCGGGGCGCTTGTGGCGCTTCTTCCTGCCTCGGCACCGGGCAGCTGGAAGCGCACATGGATGGATCCACGTGCGGAACATCTGGAAGCCACGCACTGGAGAACACGTGCGGAAGCCCGGCCTGCACGGCCATCGAAGGGCCGAGCGCTGGAAAGACACCAGGCCACATCTGTGTGGTTAGCCAGCTCTCGCCCGGGCCGGCCGCATCCTGCGTGTTCAGCTTGCCGGCAGGGGGGGGGGCCTCACTGCAAGCCCGCAGTTTCGCCTCGAGGCAGCCTCCGCTTCGCATCCTCCTCCGCCTCCCGACGCCACTCCCGCCCCCCCTTCGCCCCCCCCCCGTTTCCGACCCCATCCACTCCTCCTCTCCTCCGCGATGTTTCGTTTCCGGTCGGGGCGACTGTGGGCTCCTGCTGGGCCTGCCAAAGCGCGCAAGCCGGTACGGAGCCAAAAGATTCGTCGGGGGGCACGGTGCCCAAAAAAGCAGCTTAGGGGTATGTTACATGACTATGCTCCCTACTCATCGCCCTCCGCTTCATCCCTCCTCCTCGTCCTGTCCCTCCTCCCATCCTACCGCTGGCTGTCCCCGTCTCCTCTCCACCCCTACCACGCCAAATGGAATCGGAACCACCCAGCGATATTGCACGTCGCTGTTTGCTACAAGCTGCGATGACCTACACATCCGTCGAAGGTTTGTTGCCATTGCCAAAACTCGCATGGTGCCTGCTGGGGAGGCAACAGTCGGGTGAGGCCAAAACGTGGTCCACAGCAGCGGCCAATGTTTTGAAGGCCCAGCGGGCGCCACACGGGTGCCCTTTCATCATCCCTAGTCCTTGGCGGGCATCTGTGCGTTTTGTCCGTATCCTCTTCCGTCGCCCTTGCTAACCAATTCCGAGAGACGAAAATCTCAGTTCCAGACGCCCAGCAAGTTCAATGCCAGCCAGCACTATGATGGTTGAGCTCTGGGGTGAAACATTCGGGGGAAATCAAACACAAAGGTCACGTATTGCCAAGCTCGCCAGCAAGCCAAGACTCCAGCATAAGAACTCGTGAGGCAACCATACGCGTTCGCCATGGGTCCGCCGTCAGCCTGGGTAGAGTATGACGCCAGGTGCCACCATTCCTGTCCCTCGCGCGTGCACCCCTGTCCCAGCTTCCGACGTGCGTCTCTCCTTCTGCACCACTGGCAGCGTGCCTCCGGGACGCAGGGGGGGGGGCTCCAAGCACAAGGCAGCGGGCAAACCATGGAGCAACCAGGAAGGTGATATCCGAACCGCTTCTGCGAGAGTGCGACGTCTGGACACACGGGCAGGGCCTACCAGGCACACAGCCCTGGATTCAGTGACGCGGTACCTCCTCTTCGTCCATGAACGACCACAGAAGCACTGCTGCGCTGGCGCATGCCTTCTGCTCCACAGCCTGCGCTGCGCCAGAAACTCCGGCATTCACGAGCGATCTCGTTGCCCAGGCCATCCCTGGCCGAGAGACTCCACGCTGGGCCGGCAGTCCTGCGGCTTGCCGTAGATGAAGTCGATGGTGCCCGCCTTGATGCCCTGGGTGGGGGAGGAGGGGACGTAAGGGCCCAGTCGAACAAGATGGCCCAGGATATACATCTCTATATGTAGAGAGAGGGAGAGAAAAAGAAAGAGAGAGAGGGAGACCTTCCATGTATGGAGGCCTGGGGGAACGTCTCTGAAAAGATATCTTGGCAAAGGATGCACCTTGGAGGTGGGAGCGCGAGATGCCTCTCCTTCAAACGGGCCGGTCGGCAACATCGGAAAGAAAGCTGCCTTGGCACGGTCAGCGACCCGTGCAGCGGTGTCACGCCATCGCGTGCACGCAGGGTGGATCGCACATCTGCACGCATCCGTTCCAATGAGCAGGCATGCGCACTTGCACGCACGTGAGCGTCGAAAGAGGGCCGGGCCTGACGCGAGACGACTTAGCAACCGTACGCCACGGCTCGCGCGGGCCGCCAGCGTGGCACACCGCGTGGAGGAGAAGCCGCTCGCTCGCGACCTCGCGCGGGAGGCTTGCCCGCGCATGCCCGCGCGGTCGACCCGGCGTTGCTTCGTCGCTCTTGTGGCTCCGCCCCCGTGCCGTGTGCACTGGACGGCGCGCCCAAACGTCCGCGCAAGGACCGGCAGCACTCACAACGACTCCCGGCATGGCCTCCCGCAGCGGCCCCGGTTGCCGCACGTGCTCGCGTGGCCGCTGGGCCTCTCCTGGCCTGGCCACCCGTAGAGGGCAGAAGACCCGCCCTCCCTCGGTGGTCCAAAAATGAGGGTCCTGAGGGGTGGGGTCCCGAGGACGAGGTGCCTCAGGTAACGTAGATCCACCCTTGGGCCCCTTCCTGTGCCTAGGGCCCCCCTCCCTCAGGACCCTATCTTTGAGCCGCCCTCGATGATCCGCCTACGCGCCTCTGGCGCGAAGTGGAGTGTCCCGAGGCCCATGCAGCACTGAGAGGGCTGTGCTTCCGCTGCCGCCAGAAGAATCCAGATTTTGTAATAAAGGGAGGGGGGTCTCATTTCGGGGGGGGTCTTTTCCAGGCTATCTTGGAGGGCCTGCGGGGGTCTGGGGACGATGTTTTGGAGGGTTCTCCCACGGGGGGGGGTCTGAAATGGCTTGTCTTGGAGGGTCCAGATTCCCCCTCCCTTGTATTACGAAATCTGGAGTAATAAACCTTTCAGGACCTGGACCAACCGTTTCCCAGGCCGGTCAGGGCCGGCCTGGGGTCTGCGGGAATCGCTCGCGTCGGCCTGCCCCGCCCAGGGGGGCCCCACAACGAGCCCAGATGGCTCCAAGAGGCCCCCAAAAATGGTCAAAAAGAGGGCACCAAGTCGCCCCAAGGTCGCTCCAAGACGCCCGAGATGGCCTCAAGATGGCCCAAGAGGCCTCCAAGACGCCACGGGAGGCCTCCAGGAGGCCTCCCAAGAGGGCCCAGAGAGACAAAAATCATTGATGTTCTTAAGGTGTTTGAAACATGTTGTTTGGCGTTCTGAGATGTTCGGCTTCCCGACGCTCCCAGATGGCCCAAGAGGCCCCCAAGACCACCCCGGGATGGCCCAGGAGGCCTCCAAGAAGGCCCCCAGACGGCCAAAGAGCGCCCCAAGACGGCCAAAGAGGACCCCAAGACGGCCCCAAAAGGGGCCCAAGAGAGGGAACACGAACCGAAAATCCGAGCCTTCCGCCCCAAGGTGCCCAGAAACTCCCAAGAGGCGCCCGAGAGGCGCCCAAGAGGCCCCGAGAGGCCCCGTAAAGGCCCCAAAACGGCCCCCAGGAAGCCTCAAAACTGCCTCCAAGAGCCCCCGAAACGCCCCCCACGAGATCTCAACGAACATCCAATAGGCGCCGAAGGCCAGTAGATAAGCATCCCGACAAGCGAAGCCTTTTAGTAAACGCGCCTAGAGGAAGGAATCGAACAGGGCAGGGCTGTTTAGTAGAGCTAGTTACATGGATCGGGTGGACTTGTTCCTCCATTGATCTCATGACTTGCTCTATCGTTTCCCGCCCCTGTTGCCCTGGTTGCCACACATCTGTTGGTGGCCGCTCGGCCTTCGATGGCCTCGTACGTCAGGTCGGGCATGTCCTCCTACAGGCGGATCTTGGACGGAAAATTTAGAAATACCAAAAACAAGTTTCGAAAAAAGTCAAAAATAATCGAAAAATCGTCCCCATGCTATTTTTTGACTATTTGGGGAGATTCCCCCTGCAGAGGACCAGGCCCGACTTACTCCTACGGCCTGAATCCCAAAAGACTATTGCCCCGCCGGGCCTGCGTGTCCGACGCTTTTCCCCCGGCCGCTTGGCCTCCCGGCAGCGCCCCGCGGCCTGGACCCCAGGTGGCCCGGGGCGCCGGCGGCTCCCGCTCCGCTGGCCCCGTGGGTCTCGCGTGTCTTTCGGTGGCCGCCGGGACCACCACGGCTTGGACCCTTGGATGCTTAGCCATAACCCTCTCGCGGCCCGAAAACCACCACGAGCCATCCATCCAGACCCCACCAAGCCATCGTCTGGCAACACATCAACGCTCCACGCCAATCGCAGGAAGCGAGCGACCCCGACCGACCGTTGAGAACGACGGCTAGCAAAACAGTGCAATACTTCACCACGAACAACGCACATGCTTATCCAGACAGGACGCACGTGACACCACGCGAACATCTCCTCTGAAGATCGCTTCATCCACGGGCGAAACCAGCGACAAGCCACGAAAAAAACGCATTCGGGCACAACCCGCTCGGGACTTGGACCCGTTCGCCCAAGACTTGGATGCTCAGTCATAGAAGGACCCCTCATCCTTTGGGAGAAGACCGAAGCTAAGAGGGCCACAAGCATCAGGGATGGGGCGTTTTTTTTTCTGAAGGTGCACCGAAGCAAACCGCCCAGATTCATCATCCCTAATGCGAAGACGGGGACCTCAGTGAGGCCGCGTCTACATCGTGTCATTAGGGTTGGGGGTTCTTTTGTGCTCGAAGGTCGGACCCCCATGGCTGAGCGAACATAGACATGCGTGCACGTGCGCCCTCCCCGGTCCCGCATGCACGAGCGCGAGCGTTCCCAACGCAGGCCAGCGGAAGCCGACCGCGCACGTGTGCATCTCACTGTTGGCCTCCGGAATGGCTCGGCTGCACATCTTACGCCGCAGCGCGGCAGAGGCAGTCCGCACGCGCGCTCGTGCAAGCCGGGAGACGGCATCGCGAAGTGTCCGACGGCACGAGAGGGAAAAGGGGGGGAGGGGACGGCCACCGCACGAGCGAAAGTCGTGGGCGGAGGACGTGTCCGCATCTCCGCGGCCTCTCGAACCGCTGCCCGTGGGCCGCGACAACGGGACTCGAGTAGGGGCTCGACTACAGAATTGATTACCTCCAAACTGACTTTCCCGTCGATTCCACGAGAAAATACGTATAGTGCTCCGTCGATGTGCGGAGCATTATACATATATTTCCCAACCATCCTGTGGTGTTGGCCCCTCGTTTTGAAGAAACCTTCCCCCCTCCCTTTACCCCCCTCTAACGAATCCCTCCATCTCAGACGAGGTCGCCCGATAGATCGTTTGGCGTCGGTCCGGAACCACGGCGTCGAGTTCAGCTGTTTGCTCTGTTGTCAGAACTGTGTTTGGAGGATTCGAATCTGCCTGACGGGGCCATCAGAACAACGGCGGGACCTACTCTGAAGTTTGAGGCGAGCTCCCTCTGCAAACATCTCACGAAAACAGGACGGCCAAGACATATGCCAATACAGTCGGACCTATGACAGAAGAACATCCTTCAAGAACATGAGGCCCTCCTCCGGCCCAAACTGAGAACATTCAAGGGTGCCCTCCCCACGGATGCACAAGAACATCCAACAAGCACGAAGAACATCAGAGCACCCTCCCCGAACCCACCTCGATCTTACACCTCGGTCCGACTGTACCTTTAAAAACGTCGGCAAGCCCAAGAACCAGCAAACTCGAATCTTACGTTTGGGCGGCGAGCGAGGGGGGGAAGTGAGAAGGAGAAGGCCTTCTCAGAAGGCTCGGAAGCTTCCTGGCCTCCTGAGAAGTTTTCTAAGCCTTCCCCGAAGACGCAGAAAACCCCTCAGAAGGCGCGAGGGCTTCTGAGAAGTCCCGCCGCCATCTGAGAAGGCCTTCTAAGAAACCGAACTCTATACACCGACGCTTTTCTGGCCCTGCACTGAAATTCGCACAACAAAGCGGATCCTGGTGTATACAAGATCCTGGTGTATACATGTTTCGTTGTTTCCTCGGGAAACGGAAACAACATGTATACACCACACCACCCCGACGTCGTCCCCGACCTTCGAAAAGTCCTTAGATGGAAAAACCGCCCGCCACTGGTAATGTATACGTTCCAGTTTCTGATCTTCTCCTTCGCATTCCCCCCCCCTCGCTCGCCGCCGACTTACGTTGTCCGAACGGAGGCAGGAGCGACGACTGGCCGGCACCGCGGAAGGCAGCCCCAGGGCTCCGCGTCGCTTCTGCGCCCGCGGGCCGCCGCACCGCTAGCAGGCTGCGGAGCCCACGAAGCCGAGTGCCAGACGACCACACAGCCTTGCATCGCCGTCGAGGTCATCGCCACGTTCTCGTCTCCACACGAAGAAGAAGAAGAAGAACAACAAAAAAAAAGGCAGAAACATAAACTTGTGGCGCTCTGCGCGGAGTTCTTGGATCTGCGCTGGACCCCCGAGCGCGCTAGGGGGCCCCAGCGCGGATCCAGGAGATCCGCGCGGAGCGCCAAGAGTTTGAGTGTGTGGCGCTTGTTCTTCTTCGAGCCTCTGCCACGACGACTCTCGCCGACGAAATCGAACTGTCATCTCACTACCACACACACACACACACTGCCCCACTGACAGCAAACCGTGGGCAGGCGGGCCTGGCCGAGCTCGAGCGCCCGCTGGGCTGCGCGGTCGCCCTTCTTGTACCTCGGCGAGCGTCCGTATGGCTGCTGCTGCCGATGCCGCTGCCTCCTCTCTCTCTCTCTCTCTTTCTCTCTCTCTCTCTCTCTCTCTCTGTATGTACGTATATATATATATGTGTGTGCGCGTGCAAATACGATTGCATTTTTGCATAACATTGTAGCTTCATCTGTACATGTATACATAAACTCGTTGTACCTATACGGTGCCGTTTGTTTAATACATGGGACTTTCAAAAATACCGGATTGATATACATGATTAATTTATGAGTAAATTCATACATGATCCCATCGTTGTTTTTAATACTAAGCCCCTGCATGTTTAATACATGATCCGCACGCGGAGCATGTATTAAAAACGGCACTGACTGTATACACATATATATATATGTATGTATGTATAGATACACACATGTGTATGCATATATGTGTAAATATGTGATGTGAATGTCTAAGTGTAAATGCTATGCATACATACATACAGCTATCAATGTGTACACTTATCACAGTGACGGGCCCAACGGTCTTACACCATCCCTGGGTGCGTGGGGGAAGTGGGACTCCGTGGCCCGGATTATGCGTGCTTGCTGTTTGTTGCTGTTGATCCCTCACGTCTACAGAACACTTTCTGAAAATCCCCCCCCGCGGGTGCCCCGTGTGTTTTATAACTGAGATGCCCCTCCCGGGGCTCGCATCTTGCGCATTCTACCCCAGAAAACCTTTGGCCTCAGGCTTCGCCCCTGGCCCCCCGTTTACAACGACAACGGCTCCCGCCCGATGCTTCTCGCGCTGGACCTCTTCACAGTTTATCCGGGAATCGCACTCTCGCGTGCGACGTCCTGGCGATTCACGCAGGATCCACGCTTCAGCGACCCGCCCGCTCGGCCAGCCGACCCACCCGTGAGGGACAACAGCCGCCCCTCGCTGCCCTTCGCCCGCCTTCGATGCCCGCCACTGTCCTGCGTGGTTCCGCAGCCGCCTTGCGCAACTCCGTTGCTGCCCTCGTGGCCCCCTGGCCCCCTCGGTGCCCTTCGTGGTCTCCCTACCCGCACTCCTTTCCCGCCCGCTCTCTCTCTCTCTCTCTCTTTTTCCCTGCCTCCCCTTCCCGTTGTAGGGGCTGCGCCAACTACACGTGGCAGGTAAGGAAGATGAACCCCCCCGGTGGGTACGATCGAAGACGAACAGGGCTGGCATCGAGGGCTTAGGATGTACATGCTGACTTGCACGCGAGCTGGTGAGAGCGACTAGCCTTTAAATAGTAACGCTTGTCATCATCCTCATTTGCAAATCCGCCGCGACCCACCCACCTGCGACCCACCCACCCGCGGCCCACCCACGACCCACCACGCGACCCGCCCCCTCACTCTTATCAGCAATTGCAGGGTGCTACGCATACCATCCTCGCTCATCCCTCTCTCTCGTTCTCTCTCTCTCTCTCTCTCTCTGGCCACTCCTTCGTATGGACGTCGCCACTGCAGCCTCTGCAGGGCCCGGCGCGGCAGGAGCTCCGCGCGACGCGCACGCCAGAGAGCCTTCCGCCGCGCCGAGAGACATTCAAAAGTCTGCTTCACGAAGTAGGCCGAGCCATGTGATCATACTCTGGGTGGGATATTAATCGAGGGGTGGGCGACTAACCTTCCGACGGAGCTTGCCCATCCCCCCCCTCCACCTCCTCTTCCTCCTCATGTTCCTCCTCCTCCTCCTCCTCCAACACCCCCTGAACCCGTTCCGACAGCACGTGCCCAACCCCCCCAGCGGATCCAAGGGGGCCGCGATTATTGCCCTATCCATAGTATGTGTGGCGCCATCTGTCTCATATGTCTATTCGTACGCGAAGGGCTGAGAGTCTCATGGGCAATGCGTCACTGCTGCACCGGCACGCTGCCAGAAGGCTGGCTACTTTCGACCAGGTTTCATGGCAGGGAGGGCTGCGAAGACTTGGGAGTTGCCTTGAGGCTGGGCGTAACAGCGGGTCACCTTATCGGGAGCATCGAGGCGCTACACCTCCACGGGACGGAGCCGCTTACGATACTTCTTGACAAGATCTGCACATCGAGGGCGAAGTTTATCGCTGAGGTGGATGCTGCAGCGCGCGTGGCAGCGGAAGTCCACGCCACCATACGGGCAAAGTGGAGAGAAAAACGAATGTTGGAGCAGCATGTGCGAACGCCTCTTGAACATGAACATACCGTAGACGGATCGACCATTTCACCCGCAACCGCAACAGCTGCGCTGTCTATAGAAGTATACACCCCGAATGTCTCTATATACGCAACGACGCACAATGTGTCTGTAGACGCTTGTGGCTTGAAAGTGAGAAGGGTATTCGGCATAGGCCCGAGATACTGTCATTCTAAAGGCAGGTAGTGCTTTGCCCTCAAACGGAGTCACGCAGTGGAGTCCGAATTAAGTGCTTGGCTCTGGAGTGCGACTCCGAAGCGCGCTGCGTGGCAGAAGCGGCCTGGCCCGGAGCGCAGCCGTGCACGAGAGCCCTGGAGCCGCCACCGAGTTTGGCAGGCGTCGCACGATCGCAGACATAGGCACAGTGGAGCACTGCATCTGCTCGCTTGTGCCGCCCTCGCTCATTCAGCACGGCCTCCTGCCAAGGCGGCGGGTGCGCGTCGGAGGGGCGCAGGTCCGCGAAGAAGCCACGAGCCTGCAAAAACGCAGCGTCGCGGTGCAGCGCTCGCGCCCACGGAAGGCTCTGCTCCCCCTTGCGGAAATGCAGCGCGCTAATGAGCGTCAAAAAACTGTTCCAGACAACGCGGCCCACGTACCCACGCACCGCCATCTCACAACACTCAGCACGCAGTCAATAAACGGCATGCCCATCAACTCCCGCAGCTGCATATCACGATAGTATGCGTCGGCTGAGAATATATGAGGATCCCCGTGGATGCGGCGGCGACAGCGCATGCACACGTAACTCAATCGGTTGATGCCATTTGGGCTTCACTACAAGAGTGTGCATGTCGAAAGTCAAGCGGCTAACCACCGAGACACGAAGGAACCTGTTGCGGTACGCCTCCGCGATCAGCCAAGGCCCGTACAATTGCATGGCCAAGGAAGCGCAGACGCTCATGGCGCTCTTGGTGTGATGTGAGACGTTGCCCACATGCATGCCTGGGTGATCGAGGGCGGAGCCTAAGTGGATGCACCAAGGCACAAGCGAAGCATCCAGTCGTGACCCTACTGCTGCAGCGGGATGCCCAGACTCCCGTCCGGCTGCCGCCATGTCATGCGGTAGCGGCCCGATCCCCCGGAGACGAAGTACGCACTCGGACTCGCCGGGGCCCCAAATGCAGCTCGAGGTAGCAGGACCCGAACGCCGAGGTCGGCGTGTCGAGCACGATGTGGACTCTGGACCGCATGACGGCCGTGCCGCGCGACACGAGTCGGAGCGCCCTCGGGTGCCTCGAGCTCTCCCGTTCTCGGTCCTGGACCGCGTGACCCTCTCGGAGCCACGGGGGCACCAAGACGGCCCAAGAGGGCCCCACGAGGCCTCTCCAAAACAGGCCCCAGGAGCGCCACGAGTCGCCCGAAGATCGCTCCAAGACACCCGAGATGGCCTCCAGGCGGCCAGAGAGGCCCCCAAGACGCCCCGAGAGGGATCCAAGAGAACCCCAAGGCCAAGATCGCCGAGGTTCCCCAGGTTGAAACATGACGTTAGCGTTCTCTCCTGTTCGGGCTTCGACGCTCCAGGACCGCCCAAGAAGATCGCCCCAAGACGGCCCAAGGAGCTCCCAAGAGGGCTCCTAGACGGCCCAAGAAGCCCCCACCCAAGAAGGCCCAAGCTGGCCCAAGCTGGCCCCAAGAGCTATTTCTCTTTTTCCCTTTTTTTTTCTCTCTCTCTCTCTCTCTCTCTCTCTCTCTCTCTCTCTCTCAATACCGTTGTCTCGCGCTCTCTCTCTCTCTCTCTCTCGCGCGCGCGCTATCTCTCTCTCTCTCTCTCTCTCTCTCTCTCCTCCAGGAGCGCGGGTGACTCCGAGCCTCCCCCAGGGCACTGCGCAGGCAGGTCCTGAAGGTGCTCACTCGGACTCCTCGAGACATGCGGCACCGTCGGTGCGCTGCGGTTGCTCGAACGATGTTGGAGGCCTAGAAATTGGCACCAACACCAACACAGGGGGGCTGCCTCCACGGGGGGAAGATGATCCTAGATTTCGGTGTTGGTGGCAATATTTCGGCCACCTTGGAAGCCAGAATATTACCACCATCACCGAGATCGGGATCTTCTTCCCTCGGTGGAGGCACACCGCCGACATTGGTGTTGGTGTCAATCTTTAGGCCTGCGACGATGCGCTCCTGGTCGTCTGCACATTGCGCAGGGAGGTGCAGCTGCAGAGGAGCGCTCCGTCGAGCTCGGGAAGCCGTTGCGACCGCTGGAGGCCCGACTGCTGGAAGCAGGCTGGCAGCGGACTCCGCCCCCAAGAGGGGGAGGGAGCCACACTTCTGCCCGGCATGTTTGCAGCGCGCTCCAGGCCATGAAGCGCAGCGCCGTGCTCAAAAGTCTGCATCTCTCTCTCTCTCTCTCTCTCGTTCTCTTTCTGTTTCTGTTTCTCTTTTTCTCTCTCTCTCTCTCTCTCTCTCTCTCTATCTCTCGTTATCTTTAGGTTTATCTTTCTCTATATCTCTTATATGTATGTGTTCTCTATATATATATATATATATCTTTATCGTTCTCTTTCTCGCTCTCTTTCTCTTTCTCTTTGTTTATCTCTCTCTCGTTATCGTTATCGTTCTATTTATAAATATATATATATATGTGTGTACATACATGCATGCATGCATATATACATATATACATACATACATACATGCATGCATGCATGCGTGCATGCATGCATACATACATACATACATACATACATACATGCATGCATACATACATACACACATACATGCTTGTCTCTCTCTCTCTCTCTCTATGTGTTTATCTCTCTCTCTCTCTCTCCCTGTCTCTCTCCCTCTCTCTCTCTCTCTCTGTCTCTGTCTGTCTCTCTCTCTCTCTCTCTCTCTATCCCTTTCTCTGTCTTTCTGTCTCTCTCTCTCTCTCTCTATCCCTCTCTCTCTCTCTAGAAGCCTCCCAGATGGGGTTCTAGTTTTTGTGGGGTCGGAGGATCTCGCCGCATCGTCGATGCGTCACCGATGCATCGGCGACACCTGGCTGACCAGTCAGACCAGTCCCCTGAAATCTTGGCATCGCATTTTTTCACAACGAGAGATTTTGCCTTGCTTCGAGCCCCGGGACCCTCACTGATCGATCCAGCTCAGAGAATGCAGTAGAATCATGGGGCCGATGGCTCTGGTCGAGATTCTTCTGATGTTGCACCTTTTTCGTGACGTCGGACCTCAGGGTCCGACGAAACTCTGGACACCAGGGAATCGCGTCGCTCGGCTCGAGTACTGAAATCACCGCTGGGGTTGTTTGGGCATGAGGAGACGATGCTGGAAAACCAACGGAGAAACGCCCGAGAAACTGGCGGAAACATCACGCAGCCTCGCTTCTATCAGGGAGGTGTAGTGACCGAGTGTGACCGAAAACCCCCCCGAGTGTGACCGAAACCGGCGCCCGAAATTTTCCGAACGTGACCGAAATTCTTGGTTCGAAACGAGAGCGATGTTCAATTTCGGTCACACTACGTTTTAGGATACAATTTCAAACACGTTTTCGGTCACCGTTTTTCCCAACCATCCTGTGGAATTGGATCCTCGTCTTGAAAAGACAGCGCCCTGCGTCTCCTACTTCCTCCTCCCCCTCCGCATGTCCACCTTGTCAGCGCACCCAGTACAGAGCTTCGTGGAAGGCCCCACTAGCTGTGATCACATGCGTCCCCACCACCCATGTCGGCACACCCCTCACACGTTTCGTGGCCCCATAGGGAGTGCCACCAAAGGCCCCAATGGCTGTGATCACACTCACACGTGTCCCCGCAACCAATTTCCCGCATACCCCTGACACGTTTCGTGGCCCCATGGAGAGCTCCACCGAAGGCCCAGATGGCTGCGCCCGCATGCGTCCCCACCAAACATTTCGGCACCCCCCTCACGCGCTGCGTGGCCACCATAGGGAGCTCCACCGAAGGCCCCAATGGCTGTGATCACATGCGTCCCCGCCGCCCATTTGGGCACACCCCTCACACGCTTCGTGGTCCCATTGGGAGCTCCACCGAAGGCCCCAGTGGCTGCGACCACATGCGTCCCCGCCACCACTTTCGGCACACCCCTCACCCCTCACACGCTTCGTGGCCCCAAGTGGAGCTTCACCGAAAACCGCAGTGGCTGTGATCAAATGCGTCTCCGCCACCAATTTCGGCACACTCCTCACACGTTTCGTGACCCCAAATGGAGCTTCACCGAAAGCCCCAGTGGCTGTGATCACATGCGTCCCCGCCACCCATTTCGGCACACGCGTCGTGGCCCCATTGGGAGCTCCACCGAAGGCCCCAGTGGCTGTGATCACACGCGTCCCCGCCACATATTTCCCGCACACCACTCACACGTTTCGTGGTCCCACTGGGAGCGCCACGGAAAGCCCAGATGGCCGCGCCCGCATGCGGCCCCACCAAAAATTTCACGACTCGTGGCCACCATAGGGAGCTCCACCGAAGAGCATACGCACCACTACGGTATTCACAACTGCATATGGTTGGGTCCTTCGACTAAATCCGCCGGCCCCCTTGAGGGGCCATCAGGCTGCGAGGATTAAGGTTGCTGCTCCCTGCACCAGTTCCAGTTTCCAGTTTCCATTGTTACAGTACTGCTTTCTGCTTCCTACTGTAAATTGTTACTGTCCGCGCGAGGGGGGGGGGAGCCGAAAAGGGCCCTGGTTAGCGTCCCCCGGGAAGGTTCTCAGAATTTCTGGGGGGGCGTGGGACACGTAAAAATACTTGAGTTTCGTACCCCCCAAACCATAATCCCTTACAAATTACCCTTCATTTTCGCGCCCGAGGCCACGATCCCTTGTAAAGTACACCAAATTGGCGTCTCCGAGGCCACGATCCCACGAAATTTACACCACATTTGCGTCTCCGAGGCCACGATCCCTTGTAAATTACTCCACATTCGCGCCCTCGAGGCCACGATCCCTTGTAATTTACACCACATTCGCGCCCCCGAAGCTACGATCCCAAGTAATTTACACCACATTCGCGCCCCCGAGGCCACGATCCCTTGCAAATTACAACAAGTTCGCGCCCCTGACGCCACGATCCTTTGTAAGTTACGCAGCGGGCGCGCCCCCGAGGCCACGAATCCGCCTTGCGGAGGCTGCCGAGAAGGCGCTCCCCCTCTCCAAAGCAAAAAAACGGTAACCTTGTGTATTGGGATATGCGATCCACTGGTATTATTTTGCCCCCCCCCCCCCGTTTCTGGAAAATTCGGCGGTGGGTTCCACATTCACCCCCCCAGGCCACGATCCCTTGTAAGTTACACCACATTTGCGCCCCCGAGGCCACGATCCCGCGTGAATTACGCCACATTCGCGCCCCCGAGGCAACGATCCCTTGTAAATTACGCCGCTGTCGCGCCCCCCAGGCCACGATCCCCCGTAAATTACGCCACATTCGCGTCCCCGAGGCCACGATCCCCGCAAATTACACCAAATTCGCGCGCACCCCCCACGCTACGAATCCACCTCGCAGAAGCTGCCCAAAGGCGCCACTCCTTCTCCAGAGCAGAAAAAAATAAACTTCCCAGAGATTGCCTGAAGCAATCCCCAGCCGTTCCCAGAGCGCTTCCAGTGAACAACTGGAGGAAAATGCCAAGAAGGCAAAAAGCGTCCAACAACAACTTCAACATCTCAATCTGTTTTGCTCATCGCCAGCCGCCCTAGCATGACGTTCCCGAATGTCATCAAGACGGCGCCCGAACATCCCCATATAGCTCTGATGTATCTCATTATGATAGAGAGGGGGCCAGCGGCAGGGGGCGAAGCCCTTACGGATAATTTTGGGGATCGCACACCTTTTCGGCTGATAGGGGCCGAGCGCCATGAGAAGCGTCTGGAGGTGTTCCAAAACGGCATAAACGCAACTTCTCGGAGCGCCGAAAGCCAACGTGTTCATGCCTTTCTTTGCTCTCCGAATACCGGCGGAAGCGCCCGAGAGCCGACGGAGGACCGCCGAGGAGCCGCCGGCCAAAATCCGCTCAAAATCGATCCCCAGATTGGTGCTGCTCCCGCCGTGCTTACGGACCACATCCCAGAAACAAGTTCGAGCGCCCGGAAAAGTGTCGAAACAGAGTCGAAACAGTGTCGAAACAGTGTCGGACGAGTGTCTCCCAGGGCCCGACACGCGAAAAGCATCGAGTTTCGGTCCTTTCTTGGTGCTCGATATTCTTTCTCGTGGTCATGGCTAGAGTAGGTTGGAACATCATACCCCCAAATCCCTCCCAGAGCCCACCCAGTGCAGCCTTTCACCCGGGATCCGTTTCTGACGGTCCCGGGGCCAGAAAACGGCCCCCAAGAAACCGAAAAAGTCGAAAAAGAGCTTGTCGAACCCAGCACGTCGAACCTGCCCCAATATCCGTCCGCTCCCATTTTTTTGAGGCGTGGGCCCCGGAGGTCTGGACCACTTCCCGTCCTGAATCGCTTTTCCAAGGTCCCAAGGCCCTGCGAGGGCCCCCGGAGGCCGAAAGCAGCCCAAATCCCGCCGCTCCACTTTTCTGGCTGGAGCGTCGGATCTCTGGGCTGAGAGGCGGGCGCTGATACACCCGTTGGACGAGGTTGGCCCTGGTGCGCCCGCTGGACGAGGGGGGCGCGGCCCAATTCTTTGCTTGGACGAGGTGGGCCCTGATACGACCCGTTGCCACGGCGCTCCTTTCGAGCACACCGCAGGGGCGGTGTTCGGACCACGCGCGCGGGCAGGGGCCCCCCCCTCCTCCTCCTCCTCCTCCTCCTCCTCCTCCTCCTCCTCCTCCTCCTCCTCCTCCTCCTCCTCCTCCTCCTCCTCCTCCTCCTCCTCTCTCCTCCTCCACCTCCTCCTCCTCCTCCTCCTCCTCCTCCTCCTCCTCCTCCTCCCTCCTCCTCCTCCGCCTCCTCCTCCTCCTCCTCCTCCTCCTCCTCCTCTCCTCCTCCTCCTCCTCCTCCTCCTCCTCCTCCTCCTCCTCCCTCCTGAGCGATCTCCGGGCGTCCTGCCGGCCAGAATCCGTCGCGGGAACGCCCGAGAGAGTCGAGGAGGCTCGCCGCGGAGCCGCTATAGCCGAGCCCCGCGCCACCGGAGGCGGGCGTTGCGGCCCTCTCCCGCGACCACCGGCCCTTCGGCACGCCGGCGCCGCGCATGGCGACGTCGCGGAGCACGAGCGCGGAGGCCACGGTCGCTGCGGGGAGCGGGCGGAGGGAGGAGGGAGGAGGGAGGGAGGAGGAGGGCGGAGGAGGGCGGCGGAGGGCGGCGGAGGGCGGCGGAGGGCGGCGGAGGGCGGCGGAGGGCGGAGGAGGGCGGAGGAGGGCGGAGGAGGGCGGAGGAGGGCGGAGGAGGGCGGAGGAGGGCGGAGGAGGGCGGAGGAGGGCGGAGGAGGGCGGAGGGAGAGGGGCTGCGTGTCTCAAAGATATACACCACCACCACCTCCAGTCCTCCCCCCGTCTCCTCGAGTCCTCCCCCCTCCTCCTTCCACTCCTCTGTCCTCTCCTGTCTCCTCGGAGGGGGAGGGGGGGAGGGAGGTGGTGGTGGTGGTGGTGGTGGTGTATACGCTTCGGCCCCAGAAGGGGCGGAGGCACAGCGATGGGAGGACGCCAACACCGCACAGACAGTGGAAAACCAACGAGACTTAAGTCGGGCGTGTCCCACTACAGGCGGATCTTGAACGAAAAATTCAAAAAAAAAAAAAAAAAAAAAAAAAAAAAAATGACCCAAAAATGACCCAAAATAGTCCAAAAATCGTCCCTGGACTATTTTTTGACTATTTTTAAAGATTCCTCCTGTAGAGGGACACGCCCGACTGAAAACGAGGCTCGAGGCTCGAGGTCAGAGCTCCTGGACCTGGGGGCTTCTGCCGGCTCGGGACCTGCGCTCCTGTGGGAGGCTCCCCGTCGCCGCGGCTCGCCTCGCCCCCCGGCAGTCTCCAGCCAACATGCACTCCTCAAGAGAGGCCCGTGGGGGCCGACTTTGTTGGACCGCCGGACCCAGGCAGAACGAGCAGGCCAGGAGCGTTTTCGCTCGGGGCGGCACACGCGTTCGTTTCTTCGTTTCTTACTCCCCCAAACGGCCAGCGGGAGGAGGGCGAGCTTGTCCTTGGAAGTGTTGACGTAGGCATGAAAGTTTAGGGTGCTGTTGGATGTTTTGGGGCGCTCTTGGAGGTGTTCTGGGATCTCTGGCCCTCGGAACTCCTGCTCATTTCTCCTTGCTCCGTCCTGCTTGCCCCGCTGCGTCGAGGCAAAGCCACGACCAGGCGAGCGCGCTCCACTACTCGCAGAGTGACTGCTCGATAAAATGGCCTGGATCCCCCACGGGGGATCTGCGATGAAGCACGTCAAAGCAGACGTGTGTTTTTCGGACGATTGCCAGTAGGCACTTTGCGAGCAGTGGAGCGCGCTCAGTGAAAAGCCACGACGGGAGCTTTGGTCTGAGGCTCTGGCCTCCGATCGGGCCCTGGCCGGGCCCCGGGGCCGTGCCAGCGCGGCCCAGGGAGGGACCACCGGCCCCGGCGGGAAGGCGTCGGGACCTCCGAGGACCCGGCAGCGAAGAAAGCGAGACGTCGGATGTCTGGTCGTGGGTTTTGCGGAGCAGCCCGTGGGAGAGCCCCGTGTGGCCTCGGGCCTCGCAGAACTAACTGCCCGAGGGCGCTGTCGCGGGTTTTGCAACGCCTCCTGTAGAGTAGGGGGAGGAGGAGGAGGTGGAGGAGGAGCAGGAGAGGAGGAGGAGGAGGAGGAGGAGGAGGAGGAGGAGGAGGAGGAGGAGGAGGAGGAGGAGAGACGGCCAGGAGGGCTGAAGCACGCACATGGCTGGGTTCGCGTGTGGGGCAGCCGGAGGCCACGCGCCAGATGCGCGCGCGGAGGCCCGACGTGCATGTGGCCCCAGGAGGCAGAAGGGTCGAGCGCTGCAGAGACACCTGGCCGAGGCAGCTGCTCAGTTGCCTCGGGGCTGCCCGGTGTGCACGTGACGGCTGGACGTCGCGCATCGCCATGTTCAGATGGCTCGAACAGGGGCGACTGAGCTCAGTGTGGTGCACGTGGCAGGACCTCTGCTGCATGTTTGCATAGGTCATCCTTGCTCGCGATGGCAAGCTGGCGTGTCGTAGCAGCGACACACACAACAAAACACAGACACACACACACACAAGCTGAGGGAGGCTGGAAGAGAGAGAAGGGAGGGGCAGACGGGAGAAGGGAGGAGTGGGACGGGGAGGGGAGGGAAGAGGAGATTTGCCCCTCCATTCCTTCGCTTCCTCCCCCCCTTGCCCCCTCCTGCTTCGCCGCCGGCTCAGAACTTAGAATCACCCCCCCACTCCAGGCTGAACCCTTCCTCCCCACGGCAGCAAGCTTTGACGACATTGGGCCAGAGAATTGCAACATGGAGGCGAGATGCTTACCATACGAACGGCGAGCGCATTGGGTCAACGGCGAGTGCCTTGGGTCCTATTTGACGGCAAGCCTGGATCCAGGCTGAACCAAGGCCTGACCCTGATCCTGACCCAATCGGCCTGATCCATCCCAAAGTGAGGATTACCCTGCTGGGGGCCCAATAAAGCCGCCACGGTCCCGACTGGTCGACGCAACGACTGGATAGGCGGCCTGATCCAGTCCGAGTCGGCGGATCAGGATCTCTGAAGGTTCAGAGCCATGAGTGTTGACGAGAGGAAGCAGAGGCGAGCACGAGGGACCAGTACGACTTCAAGAGAAGGGGAAACCAGAGAGACGCCGAAGACGAACAGAGGTCTGGATGAAGATGAGCAAGGACGCCACCGATGGGGAAGCGGACCGAGGAAGGAAAAGGAATGCAGCAGCAGCCAAACCCAGACATGCGATATCTTGCCTTGATGATTGTCAATGGGGAGTCCCCAAGAAGTCTCGACCCATTCCCCAGTGCCGGTTTTCATCATCAAGAGTCGTTGTTGTTTAAAGGGGCCCACAACACAAATAAATAGACACAAATAACAGGATTACCCATCTTTTCCCATCTTTTCTGGATTTTCGTCTTCCCCCCCCCCTCCCCATATTTTCGCATATTTTCCTGGGAGTCGACTTATCCTGATTGTTACGGTCGAGGGGCCCAGCGAAGGCCCCAGAGGGCAGAAACTGCCGAAAACGTCCCGCCGTGTTTTTTCTCTCGACGCGAGCATGTCTGGGAAGACGAAATAAAAAAAAGACAGCAGGATCGTGAAAGGACAGGTCGCCTGCGGTAATGCCCCACGCCGGCATGCTTCCCGAAACGCTCTCCAAGGATGCCGTGGCTGCAGCAGACGTCGGCACCTCCTCTCGGAGGCAAGAAAGCACAGGCGGCGGGCACGATCCTGTTGCCACGCTTCTGCGACGCGCTATCCACGTCCCTGTCCCCGAGCGTCAACACCCCGAGCGTTTCCCAGTCTCCCCCCCCCGTGGAGCGGAGCGACACGCTTTCCGCTTGCAGGGCATACCGTGTCGCCGGGGCCCGTCGCCGCGACACGCTGAGCAAAAGCTACTGACCACAACCTAGCGTACAAGCGGTTTACACGTGCCCTAAGTAGCTCAGGGTGATTCGATAACTCCGCGAAGTGGGGGCTCCGCCCACCTAGACCAGATCCGTACACACCCCTAAACCACTTAAGTAGGGCAGTTGCAGCCCACATATAAGCTAGGCTAGGCCAGATGTTACACCTTAGCATTCACTTCTAGTCCCTCTATATCCTGACCAACCCCCGCGGACATCCAAGCGGGCGTCAAAAAAAAGTCCCTTGTGAGCAAGCTCCTAGCGGAGGCTCTTGTTCACTCTTCTATCCGTTGCTCGGGTGCTGTCGCAGTGCCAGAAGTGTCCGTGGCCCAAGATGCCCCTTGGCTTTTCGCTTGCACTTGTGGAGTTCCTGGGGTCCTCTGGAGAAGGAGAAGGAGGAGGAGGAGGAGGTGGAGGAGGAGGGGGAGGAAGGAGTGGGTAGGGGAGGAGCCTCGTGAAGGGTGCTCTGTGAAGGATGTGGGGGCCGCCCTGGAAAATCGTGGGAGCACCTCGGGCCAGGGACACCGTCTAGCAGCACCTGGCCGGGGGAGGCCCTGACGAAGCTCCCCTCTGCGAGGAAGAGGAGGCGGATGGGGAGAAGAAGAAGGAGAAAGAGGAGGAGGAGGAGGAGGAGGAGGAGGAGGAGGAGGAGAGGAGAGGAGGAGGAGGGATGAGGAAGGAGGCGGAGGGGGAGGGAGGAAGGAGGAGGAAGGAGGAGGGGAGGGAGGAGGGAGGATGGAGGGAGAGGGAGGAGGGAGGAGGGAAGAGGGAGGGAGGAGGAGGAGGGGGAGGAGGAGGGAAGAGGAGGAGGAGGAAGGAGGAGGAGGAGGAGGAGGGAGGAGGGAGGAGGGAGGAAGAGGAGGAAGAGGACGGGGGGTGAGAGGGGGTCAGGTCCTTGATACACTGTTCACTCTGGATCGTTTGCTCTACCTATCCGACTTATCCCGCCTGCTCCGCGTTTTTTGCAGCACTACTGCCGCACGTCATCTTTCTGTTCCTCTCGCACTCGTCCTCTTGAAAACTTTCTTTCGAGCACGTCCTTGTAAGAGCTCGAGCAGCTAAGGGGCGCAACAACCTCGAGCCAATGCTTGGCCAACGTCAATTAACGGGGAGGGAGAGAGGAGGAGAAGAAGGGCCCTCAGGTCCGGGCGGCGCAAGCAGAAAGCGGCGGCACGGCTGGTTTGCGACGTCTGCGGCCCGTGGGGGCCGTTGCCAAGCCACGGCACCGTCGAAGAACTGCTCCGGATGAAGAGCTGGTCCCGGGGAAGGGCCCCAGGCCCTCGTGTCCTCCGCTACAGATATGTCCGTGCCCACCGCTTCGGAGTCGTACCCTGGGATCATGAGGGGTTTCGGCTAGGGGTATCCGCCCACCCGCAGAGGCGGGCAGATGTCCATGCCCACCCCTCCCCGAACCCCCTGGGAACACGACCCCGCGGCAGTGCATAGAGACACACTCTGGCGGCGCCTTGGAGGTTCACGCTGCGGAAAGATCACGGCCCCCGAAGGTCTGGGCGTCCGAGGCCGAGCTGTCCATGGAGGATGGGACTTCTTCTCCATCGGTTCGTTCGTCCACCGGTGCTTGTGTGGAGGCCCAGGCGAGCGCGCGTCGAAGGGACCCCCCCCCAAGGGAAAAGCCGGGAGTGGCACGGTGCTCGCACGGCCGCAGCCCCGCCGCGGGATAGCCCTCCCGAAGCGATAGGCCGAGCTGTCTCCCTTCGGGGCAACGCCCTCCGAGACCCACCAAATGGGCGCGGCGGGGCTGCAGGCGTGGCAGGAGGGCCGCTGCACACTTCGAGGGAGGACAGGGACACAAGGTGCCGGAGCACGGGCGCACACGGGGCCGTGCTGCCAGTGCACGGACGGGGGGGGGGGGCTGAGGTGGACGGGCGAGCACGGTGCTGGCCTGGCCCCCACGTCTGGGGGGGGGCTGAGCCCCACTTCGGTCGTTGCGCCCAGGGCGCCAGAGACGGGGGCAGCGTGCACACTTCGGAGGCACAAAGCAAACAGAGCAGAAGGCGCGCACGCAACAGTACCATGCTCTGCTGTTCCACATCCCTGTGTTTCTCGCGTCCGCCAGCGCTGCCGACAACAGTGTGTGTGTGTGTTGTGTGATGTGTGTTGTGTGTTGTGTGTGTTGTATATGCGTTGCGTGCGTTATGCGTTGGGTGTGTTGTGTGTGCTGTGTGTTGTGGGTGTGTTGAGTGTGTGTGTGTGTTGTGTGCGTTGTGTGTGTTGTGTATTGTGTGTGGTGCGTTGTGCATGTTGTGTGCTGTGTGCTGAGTGTGTGTGTGTGTGTTGTATGTGCTGTACGCTGTGCTGTGTTTGTTGTGTGTTGTGTGTGCTGTGCGCGCTGTGTGTTGTGTGCTGTGTGTTGTGTTTGTTGTGTGTTGTGTGCTTTGTGCGTTGTGTGTTATGTGATGTGTGGTGTGTTGTGTGTTGTGCGTGTTGTGTGTGTGCTGTGTTTGTGTTGTGTGTTGTGTGTGGGTTGTGTGTATTGTGTGTTGTGTGTTAGGCTTGCTGTGTGTTGTGTGTTGTGCGTTGTGTGCGTGGTGTTGTGTGTTGTACGTTGTGTGTGTGTTGTTTGTGTGTGTGCGTGTGCGTGTGTGTGTGTGTTGTGTTGTGTGTTGTGTGTTGTGTGTTACGCATGCTATCATGCTATGCGTGTTGTGTGTTGTGTATGGTGTGTGTGTTGTGTGTGGGTTGTGTGTGGTGTGTGTGGGTGTGTGCGTGTTGTGTGTGGGTTGTGTGTTGTGTGTGTTGTGTGTGCGTGTGTGTGTTGTGTGGTGTGTGTTGTGTGTTGTGTGTTGTGTGTTACGCATGTTATGCGTGTTGTGTATGTGTATTGTGTATGGTGTGTTTTTGTGTGGGTTGTGTGTGTTGTGTGTGTGCGTGTTGTATGTGGGTTGTGTGTGTTGTGAGTTGTGTGTTGTGTGTGCGCTTGCGTGTGCGTGTGTGTTTGTGAGAGATTGTGTGTTGTGTGTGATGTGTGCGTGATTGTGACTTTTGTGTGTGATTGTATGTGATTGTGTGCGACTGTGTGTGATTGTAAGTGATTGTGTGTGATTGTATGTGTGATTGTGTGATTGTGCTTGTTTATGTGTGCGGGGTGTGTGAATGTGTGAATATGTGACTGTGAGAATGTGTGAAAATGTGAATGTGGGTGTGCGTGTGCGTGTGCGAGTGTGTGTATCTGTGTATGTGCGTGTGCGTGTGTATGTGTTTGCGTGTGTGCTTCCGTGTGTGTTTGAGTGTATGTGTGATTGTATGTATGTTTGTATGTGCGTGGTGTGTGTGTGTGTGTGCGTGGTGTGTGAGGCGTGTGTGTGTGTGTGTTTGTATGTGTTTGTTTGTATGTGAATGTGTGTACGTGTGTATGTGTGTGTGCGTGCGTGCGTGCATGTGCGTGCGTGCGTGCGTGCATGCATGCGTGCGTGCGTCCGTGGGTGCGTGCGTGCGCGCGGGCGTCCGTGCATACATGCGTGCGTGCGTCCGTGGGTGCGTGCGTGCGTGCGTGCGTCCGTGCTTCCGTCCGTCCGTCCGTGCGTGCGTCCGTCCGTGCGTGCGTGCGTGCGTGCGTGCGTGCGTGAGTGCGTGCGTGCGTGCGGGCTTGCGGGCGAGCGGGCGGGCGGGTGGTTGGGTGGGTGTGTGTCTATGTCTGTGTCAATGGCTGTGCCTGTGCCTGTGCCTGTGTCTGTGTCTGTGTTTCCGTGTCGTCTTTCGTCTTTTTGCTGGGGCGGGCGTAGCCCCTTTGGCTGTGCCCCCGTTCACCAGGCCCTGGGCGCTGCAGCCGCGCTACACGGCGAGCTCATCTGGGAGCGCCCGTGCCCCCCCGCGATTGGAGCATCCCCCCGCCTGCCGCGAGATTTTGGCGCAGCTCGGCGGCGAGCCCACTGGGGAAGTCAGAGGGGGCGGGCCTTCTCAGAAGACTTAAAAGGTCTCCGGCCTTCTGTGAAGCTTTCTAAGCCTTCTCCGAAGACAGAGACGACTTCTCAGAAGGCGCGAGGGCTTCTAAGAAGCCCCACCCCAACGGAGGGGCGCGAAGTCCAGATTTCCTTTCGGTTCTCGTCACGCCCCGACGCCCCACCCCACTGCATGCCAGCGAACTGGCCAGAGTCTGGAAAAAACTGCCCTGAAGCGTCCAAGACTGGCTGTGCAGCCGCACTTTTGTATCGTCTGGATCTGAGGGTCCCTCCACCCAGGGTCACCTAATTTCGCGCAACGCGCCGCGCGATGTGCGACGCGCGATTATCTTTGCGCCGACGCGCCCAGACCGCGAAGCGAGACGCGCGAACATGTTCGCGCCCCGGCGTGTGATCTGGCCTCGTCCTCATCCTCCTCCTCTCCTCCTCCTCCTCCTCCTCCTCCTCCTCCTCCTCCTCCTCCTCCTCCTCCTCCTCCCTCCTCCCTCCTCCCTCCTCCCTCCTCC